TTTTATTTTCAGACTAAGTGTTTAATATATGCCACCTACTTGGGAAAACATTCAGGAATATGTCTTTCTTATGAATATGCTTTTCAATTATTTTCTTTTTGAGGAGAGATCAAATAGTGATATGAAACTTTTGAATTAAAAATGATTTCAGTCTAATCTGTGCCTCTCGGAGTAATATTAAAAGTTTCCTATTTTTCACACATTATCCTGGTATGAATTCTATAACCATTCAGTAAGCTCAGTAATTTTTAATAAAAACTGTTAACTTAGATTGCATATAAATATAGTTTGAGAAGCTTGGAAGTTGGTGAGGGTTAACTATAGAATTCGTTCCCTTCTGAGGTAGGGGATAGCTAGGTGAAGTGTGACAATCAGTTCTGCTTTGATGTGAGGGCAAGGAACTGGCTTTCAGGCTGCAGACATCAAATGCCAGAAAAAGAAGGTTTTATATTGTGCATCATCACCATATTAAGTACTTTAATCTTCCATGAAAAGTTCATTTATATTATTAAGAGATCTGTCTTTTGTTCTTTTTGCGTGTAGGTATAGGGAAGGGGTGGGATTCCAATATTTCACTGAAACAGTTGTTCCTCATACATACCTTTAATCCCTCTTTGCTCAGTCTTATGCCCCCCCTCTACAGCTAACTGATTTCAAAGCTTTTCCAGGCTTCCACTAGGCACATGGCCCTTAGCCCCTTCTTTAGATCTTTTAAACTTTATTCTAAGTTTTAGTTTTCTCCGTTTAATCCTTTAATTCACATCCTCCTTTATTCTCCCAGAAATGTATCAAAATGTCTCATTTGTTAATGAAGTACTTTCTCTCCTCCAGCATTCTCATTAATGATATGGATTTCTTCTTGTAGGGTCTTAGAAAGGGAACAGGCAACAAATGCATGTACCAAGTCACCTTTCTGAGCTGTATGCTAACATCTTGTTCAAATACTCATTTCCATTGGCTTTCTTGATACTACACTTCTGTTTTTCCCATTACTTCTTTGACTTCTTGTCACTACCTTTTGCAGGATTTTTATTCTTTACTCTTCCAAAGCAATTTGGATTATGCAAGACTTGGTCCTAAGCTCACATCTCTTCATATCATACTCTTTTTCATGGACTTTTTTAACCATACTAATGGTTTCATTTACCATTTGCTTTGTGATGACTCATGTTTATATTTCAACACTATTATTAAAACTATTAATTGTATCTTAGGAGAATTTTAAGAAAAAAACTACATTCAATATTTAAAAAAGGGAAAACCAGGGTGCCTGGGTGGTTCAGTTGGTTAAGCGTCTGCCTTCGGCTCAGGCCATGATCCCAGGGCCATGGGATTGAGCCCCATGTCCGACTCTCTGCTCAGTGGGGAGCCTGCTTCTCCTGCTCCCTCTGCCTGCCGCTCCCCCTGCTTGTGCTCTCTCTCTCTCTTTGTCAAATAAATAAATAAACAAAATCTTTGAAAAAAAGAAAAATCACATTCAAAGTATATCAAAATCTTAATAATGTTACTAGCTTATTTCTTTGTTATATTCAAAGTTTCACTTATTAAGAACACATCTAGTGCAGTGTACACATCTAGAAATAGCTTAAAAACCTGTAAAAATATGATATTGAATGATAATTATATAGTAATAATTTGTAAATTTGATTTTCAGCTTTTACTTAGTCCATGGGAAAGTTAAAACACTTATAAAAGTGTAACAGTAAAAGTAGCAGACAAAAGGGCATAAATGTAGTGTAGAAAGAGTAAAGGAAAAAGTAGAGATAAAAATATCTATGTCATGTAATAGGAAGTCAAGAATTATTTTTCAAGAGTTAAGAGAACAGTAAAGATTTGAGTACATTATCAAAGTTAAAAAGGTAAGCAATGGAAAACTATTATATAAATATAAATTAGAGGAGGACAGAAGAGATACATATATCTATATATGTACAAGGGAGTCAATAATTATTATTTAAACTTCATTAAACAAGAAACAGATATTTTCTAGTATTATATGAGAACCTCATGAAAGAAAAAAGAATTTAAAAAGTTACATTCATTTGATATAAATGTCTTACTGTAATAAAAATAAACAGTAGACAAATGACCACCAAGGAAACAATAACCTTAGATAATTCACAGAAAGAAGAAATGTGAATTTTTGAAATCCTCTAATAAAATCTTAAATAAAACTGTCATTGAATAATATAATTTAAATTCAGAAAATGTTTTCCACCTGTTTCTTTTTAACTTAAATATTAACCTTAATATAACAGTTCATTTTATTTTTTATTGGCTTTATTAAACCTTTCATATAGTACTGCTCAAATAATTATTTTTTTAAAAGATTTTATTTATTTATTTGAGAGAGAGAGTGAGAGAGAGAGCACAAGAGGGGGGAGCAGGAGAGGGAGAAGCAGACTCCCTGCTGAGCAGGGAGCCCCATGCGAGACTCGATCCCGGGACTCCAGGATCATGACCTGAGCCGAAGGCAGTTGCTTAACCAACTGAGCCACCCAGGCGCCCTCAAATAATGATTTTTTTAAATACAAATATTCATAAAAGAAAAAGTAGTCAACAGTGTCAACTGCATCAGTAAATTCAGTTAGTATAAAAAAATTACTAGTTTAATAGACATAGTACTGGTTATATATGAAACAGTGTAATGTGCTGTAAAAGTCAAAGGAAAGAGTTAAGAATGGAGGGATTGGTGCTAATAGGAGGAGGGACAGTATAGTAATTCTACTGAAGTAGATTTGGGGAGAAACAGTATGGATGGAGATGTAGTTAGATTTAATTTTGTTAGTAGGAAGATGAATTTAATAACATATAGTTTTTGTGACTGGATGGGCAGTCCAGTTTAAGGAAAGCAGAGATTTTTTTGGGAGATTAGCCATCCACAGAAACTTAGTAGGATTGAGAGACACTCCTGAAGGTCCATTTGAATTTGGCAGTCATGAATCAATGGTGGGTGTAATTCTCTAGCAGCTTTCAGATTCTCAAGGCAGTCACAGATTAAGGGCATAGTTGAATTAATTGGAAGTTTTTGCCAAGCAATAGCAATAGAAGACAGAGGGGCAAGGGAATTTAAATGGCAATAAAATTATTTTAATTATTCTTGAAATGCTTGACTGTGGAAGATAAAAGATAAAGTTAAGCAACACATCTGGGCCTGGGTACTGAACTTTTAAAATATTAGTGAAACTGGTATCTGCTTTTGGATTCTGATTTATACATGTGCTACTTTCTCTCATGATGGTTAGTGTAATGTTTAGGTCAATTATGTGAAAATAAGACAGCCACTGTGAACCTCAGCCACTAACCAAGTGTACATTATTACATAAATGGATAGTGTTAATGGAAATATTTATTGACTAGACAGCAAATTTTTACAATTTTCAGGCAAAGATGTTTTAAATTCTTAAGGAATTAATGAGACAATGCTCAAAAACATTATGGAAATTGTGGATAGAGAATCACCTTAATTCTAAGCTTTTAACTAAGTGAATTTTAAAAATCATATCTATTTCCTTTTTTCTTTTCACCCTATGGACATTTTCATATAATCTTGAAGTTGACACCATATATTCACAATCATAGTTTAACTACAGGGAGGGGATACACAATGGTGAATTTTAAATATCTTTCTCTAGCCTAGCCCTCTTTTATATATATTAGACATATGTATCTAAATGTTTACTGCATATTTCCACATGGATTTCCCAAGAAAATTTCATCTCATAATATTAAAAATGGAATTCCTCACATTTACCAACTCCTCAATCTCTTCCTTTATCTGTGTTATCTCTTTTGAAGAGAATCATCATGCATTCGATGAACTGTGCCAAAACTTCTTCCTACTTTAGAGCCTGATATTTAATTAATTATTAAATCTTAGTAATTTTACCTCTCTAATATCTGCATATTTCCTGCTCTCCAATGCCATTACCCCTGCTTTCATTCTGTCCCTCATCACCTCTCAGCTGGCGATTTTCAATAGTCTGAATTGGTTTCCCAATTTCCATTCTTCTTTCCCAGCTATTCCTCCATTCTATTATCTAACTATGTGACCTTTGGCAGGTCCCTTCATGTCTCTAATATTGGCTTCTTCATCTCTAAACTGGATATTTTATGTGTACTCACTACCAGATAGGATATATATTATATATGTGTGCATATATATATGTCAAATATACAAAATGAGAAACTGAGTAGTAAGCGAAAATCTTGTGATGAAACTCAGCATACCCTGCAGCAGCCTATATTCTAAAACTAAGCATATAAAAAAGTAATGTCAAAATAGATTATTTTTTAAGTTTGACAATCAATCAGGATTCTAAAGCTCACTTCTTAATAATGCTTTCATGGATTTTTTATGCATGACAGAGCAAGCCACATATATATCAACTGGTAATATAGCACTTGACTTTTTTAATGCAATGCTTAACTGTAAATGTCTATAACTACAAATGAGGTGTTTAAATTTGAAGGTACTGTAGATAGATGGCAATACCTATAATTATAGAATCATAATTTCTGCCTGAATTGCACTTAAAAGTTAAAGTTCCAATTGCTTCTATTATTGGAAAAGTAATAATAACAATTATAACTATACCATGAAGTATTAAAAGCTGAACATTCAGTTTGAAGGTAGCTAAAATAAAAAAGTAATGAAAAGTGAACCTATAAAACACTTGCAATTCATACACATATGTTATAGAGAGCACTAAAGAACAAAAAGAAAAGAACTGGAGTCTTTATTACAATTCGTCTTTTCAGATGCTCCCTCTCTCTTTGGCATTAGTATAGTATTATGGTTAATACTTCTCATCCAAAGATCATCACTTTCCTATGCCAACATTTTTACTCTAAGGTATACATAATCTCAGACTAAAAGTGTAGAACTTTTAAATATGACAATTAAAAAATATGTGTATTAGGCTTACATGTTTAGAAATACATCTTTATTTTTCACAGTTGAGGTGGCTGACCATTTTAAACCCTGCCATGCAACTTACCATCATTACGTAGAGTGAGTGGTGTTGGAGGACTAAGTACTCGAGCGTTTGTCACTGTGTTTTTCACCAGACAAATATAGCTGCCAACATCTGATGATTGGACTTTAGAAATATAAAGGTTGCCTGTCTCCTGGGAAATGAACCGCCGGCTGTCCTCCGCCACAAAGGAAGGGAACTCATTAAATACCCAGCTATAGATGATCTCTGAAAATACACAAAATTCAATTGTTGAAAGATACAGATTATTTTATTAACAGTCAAAGCTCAAACAACAAATTCTTTACTAAGAGTTAGATATCTTGCAAGACCATATATATTTCATTCAGATACCTATATAATTTAGTATTTTATGTTCAAAGGACTTTTATTCTTAATGGTTATAAGAAGATCTGAAATGTTTCTTAAGGATGCTTAATATTCATCCATCCATCCATCCATCAATCCATCCATCCATCCATCCATCCATCCATCCATCCATCCATCCAATTCCAATGTGTGTTGAATGTGTGTTGGATGATTGGCACTATGATAGCACTGAAATTAAAAAGATGAGAGAGGCAGTTTCCCCTTCTCAAAGATCAATCTAATGAGAGATTTACCCAAACCTATCAATCAATATGGAATAAAGAAATGGAGATATGTACTCTATTGTAAAGAAGGCATGGACGAGGGGTACTTAAGCAATCATGTTGATCAGTAAAAACTACCTGAGATAAGAGACACCTAAGCTACATTAATTTACTAATTTATTCAACAAAATAAACCAGGCATTGTTGTAAGTGGAAAACAAAAAGTCTGTGGTCTCATGGAGTTTTCCTTATAGTGGGAAGAAACCAGGAATACACAAGTATATATCAAGTGGTGATAAGTGCTATGAAGAAAATTAAAGCATGTTAAGAGAGAGAGTGATAGAGGTGAGAGGAACATGTGAATTTATGTTTTAAAAGTTCTCTCTGACTACTTGGTAGAGAAAAGACAGTGTGAGGACAAAGCAGGTATCAGAGGGAAAGCAAGAGCAATAATGCCCACTAACCTAAGAGGCTATTTTCAAAATAGCCATGAATGATAGAAATGATTTGTATTAGAATGGTAGTGGTAATGATAGTGTTGGTTCTGGTAAAAATGTGGTTGTGGAGTTGACAGGGATTGCTGAGGATTCATTATGAAATGTGAGAAAAAGAGTAGTCAAGGATTTAGGTTTGGGGCTTGATTCACTGAGCAACTAGAAGAATATATTTGATTTTACTAAAATGGGCAGACTATAGAAAGAGCAGTTCCTTGGAGATGTGGGTGGAGTAAAACTAGGAGTTTAATTTTGGCAAATAAAATTTGACATAATATCTAGTATCCAGTTAGAGAAATTGATAAGGCAGTGATATATTTGAATAAGGAGGCCAAGATAAAGTTCATTCACACAAGTATTGGATGGTATGAATGGACAACCACAAACAGTTTTGTGTTATTGGACTGAAAATTTCAAGGAATGGAGTGGTAAGAGAAGAGGTTGGAGAGATTAGAGGTAAATCCAAATTATTAAACAAAGATTAACATGGTCTGTTTATGTTATATTAAGGAGCTTGTGCTCAATCTTGTATGTAATGTGGTACCACTGGATGTTTTTCAAGAAAGGGTTGACATAGATACATACATTAGTAGGTTATTCTGGTGAGTCTGCAAAGGTTGGATTTAATTGCAGGAGAGAGCAATAAGATAATATTGCATACTAAAGGTGAAGGCTGAAGAAATCTGAATCAGAGTCATGATCATAAAAATGAGAAGAAAGTTGTTGGTCCAAGAAATATATCAGAGGTAAGGCAAAGAAAGAAACAAATAGTCCTAGTCCAGGAATACTCATGTCCTCCTTGAGTGACTGGGAAAAGAATGGTACAAGAGGTTTAATGGAAATACGCCAAGTCAAACTAGTTAAGGAGAAAGATTATTGGTTCATTTTCAGGACATTTTGAGTTGGAAGTCTGTGAAGCAAATCTGGGTAAGGAGTTCTAGCAGTTGGCAAATACGTGTTTGAAGGCCAGGAAAGGAAATCTGAGGTGAAGGTTAAATTTGGGAGTTGTCAGTATATTGGTACAATCAAATCCAAGTAAGTAGGTGAGATAAATCAAGAGGAGTAGATATAGTGAGAAGATACTCTGGGAAGCACAAACATCTAAATAAAGGTAAGAAAGTGTTCACAGAGTAAAAGAGAAGAGACTGCTGGAAAGATTCAAAGGGAATAAAGATAACACAGTGTTACAGGTGCCAGTGGCTTAACCATTTCCACATGATTAAATAACGTCAAACAAGGAAAAAGGCCTACTAAATTAAAGGAAAATGTTACTTAAGATTGGCATTTGGGATATCACTGAATGGCAACTTCAATAGATGAGTGGGGACCAAAATCGGACTGCAATTGAGGAATTAGAGGCATTGTGTGTAAGTCTATAGCATTCAAATCTCAGTAAGTATTAGAGTTACCTCTGTTATGATTGAAAGAGCAGATTCTAAGGCCCCTTTTCTCCTACCTACCATAAGCAGTTAAAAGTAAATTCATCGGTGTGGCCCTATATAGTTTCCAGTGGGGAGTCTGGCATTTAATCAGCCTTTCTGGATACTCAAGCAGTGACTTGAAGCTTATCCATCCATAGTGAAAGTCAGTGTAACTAATTTTGAACTTTATATACTGATTAATTAACTTTGAATACCTTCCTAATCTATTACTATTTAATTTCTTTTTACTATTTAATTTTTTTTATCTAAACTGAACCAACATAATATGTACAGTAAAGGTAAATCATTAATTTTCATGAATATGTGTTTAAGAAAGGTGGTGTCATAGACTAACTTCTGAGAAGGGTCAGAAACATCTTCATAGACATTATCTTAGGCAGGTATACTCCATACAATCAACTGATAAACATTAAAACGACATTTCTTCTGTTCCCAAATTCTCCTTCCCCCATGTGTCTTCTTCACTGGTTCAATTCATTAGAACTTCCAGAGGCAATGTACCCAAGTCCTGACTTAGCTATTTACAGATGGTTTAAGGTAAGCAAATATTCAGCTAAGTCTCTGAGGTTCAGTTTTCTTGCTCAAAAATGAGAAGAGTATTACCTGCTTCATAAGTTTTCAAATAAGATAATTTAACCGAAAACCTGACACACAATAAGTACTTACAAAATATAAAAATTAACACCCCTCCCCCCCAAAAATTGTTAGGTTAGGAGTTTTTTCTATGTATTTCACTTAAATATAAGGAAAACAGCAATGGGGACCTAAAATAACACTGAAAGAATTATCGGTGTTTAAATATTAGTCTGTTTTCCAGAGAAAATTTTAATAATGTTTGAATGCAATTATAAGCAAGATTTAGCCAGTATTTATTACTTCTAAGGCATAGAATATAGTTGTAATAGATGCTTGAGAATTCTGAAATGTTATATTGCATTAATGTATAATTATAGTACACATAACAGTATCAAAACTTTCAAATATTTTAACAAATGTTTTAAAGCAAACTCTTTTTTTTTTAAAGATTTTATTTATTTATTTGAGAGAGAGAGAATGAGAGACAGCACGAGAGGGAAGAGGGTCAGAGGGAGAAGCAGACCCCCGCTGAGCAGGGAGCCCGATGCGGGACTCGATCCCGGGACTCCAGGATCATGACCTGAGCCGAAGGCAGTTGCTTAACCAACTGAGCCACCCAGGAGCCCCGCAAGCTCTTTTTTATAGCTACAGTTACCCACTTGGTTGTCATTAGTCCACTTGATATTTTACTAAGAATTTAATGGTATCCATGTGGCTTTATTCACAGAAAACCCAGAATATAATAGAAATACTTCATTCTGTTCTCACACTTCTCAACTAGACTCTAAATTCAAGGACTTTTCACATTTAACAATATGAATTCTTCTAATTGTTATAATAAGAGTTTCATTTGTTGTTCACACATAACTCACCTATATTTTGATGTTTTTACAAGTTATTTTAAATTGGATTTATTGGGGTTATCTCAATTTTTGGCTTATATTACTTGAAATTTAGGGAAAAAGAAAGCAGTGAACAATTAAAGACTATCATTCATTGAAATACTATTTCTGGGGGCACCCGGGTGGCTCAGTCGTTAAGCGTCTGCCTTCGGCTCCGGTCATGATCCCAGCGTCCTGGGATCGAGCCCCGCATCAGGCTCCCTGCTCTGCAGGAAGCCTGCTTCTTCCTCTCCCACTCCCCCTGCTTGTGTTCTCTCTCTCTGTCAAATAAATAAATTAAAAAAAAATACTATTTCTGTTACAGTGCTTATTGAGTCAATGTTTTATAAAATATTTTTACAATAGGAAAAAAGTATATAAAATTAGCATGTTCTCAAATTTTACAGGTAGATGAGTATTTGGGGATTAAACATGCTTATTTAGATTTTATCATAAGTTTTCAATTTTGCGTAACAAAGCATTTCATAATTCTAAGAAGGATAAAAAGTAGAAATGGTATATAATAGAAAAGCTGACAACCTGAATTTGGATTGAATTTTCTCACTGTGCCCAAAATGGAAATATTGTACTGGGTTAAAACTTTTAAGAGGCTGCTTACTTTCTTCTCTTATAGGAGAAAAAAACTTATATTTTTCATTATCTCTTTGCATTTATTTAATATCCTTCTGAAACTTTTCTTTAGTATCATAAAAAACAAGCATTAATTATATTTCTAGTAAAATCTCAGACCCTGAAGATTATAAAATTCAGGAAGCTAGTAAAACATAGTGGGCTTTGATGTCATAGTCTTTAGTTCCATATACCACTTTGTTTCATATAATTCTTCAGTGAGTACTCCCTATTTTAGCAAACAATGACTACTTTTTGAGATATCCTGTGCATCCTAGCTTGGGATTACCTTTTATGTTAATTTTCACTAGTGCATTTTTGATACTATGTAGCAGTATACATTTGGCCAACAAGCTCATGACAGTTTGAGGATTTGGATTCTCATGGGAGATTTTTTTTTTATCTTTCTCCATGAGAGTCATTCTAGTTCACTGAGGGCAAAGCCAGTAACAGGCCTGATTTGGTGCATACGTTATTCTAACTTCCCCTCTCAGGCAGACCCAAAGATTTGTGTTTTATCCCAGTATGAACATTTATCCTCAAGCTCCTAGACTTAAGGGTCAATTTCCATAACACAAATAATCCACCTTGCTTCCAAGATTTCCTCAGGAT